CAGCTGCCGTGGTGCKACAAAAAGTCCAGTGGACACCAMAAATGTCTTTTTTACTGTTAAAAYTAGTCCACAGACTATCACCAGGCGGCCATGCTTATTTACTCTGAGCTCACGRTTGATCTCAAGAGATCTCGCGAGATTTCCCGTCTGATACCTGAATGTGTGTGGTGTGTTGTCTTGGTTGTGAGGCTGTGCACCACACACTGTWGGACCCAACCTGCTATATCRGTTTTTTATACTCATGTGTGGGATCTCTTAGTCTTTGAAAATCAGCTGACAATTTTAGAAAAATTGCCYTGTGAACCAGGCATAACCACTTTACTCTGATCTGTTTTGTACACAAATCAAAATGCATCGCTTTCACARGGTATTTTCTCTAAATAATTTGTCTCAATCTCTGGGATTTAAACTCATGGAGAATACTGATAAATAGTTCACGATGACCATTTTAGAGACKCTAATGTAAGAAGAAGATGATGATGATGAGGAAAAGAAGGGAGACATGAAACAACTCTTTTAAGTAAAACATAAAAGTTTCATTTTAAGAYCATAGGCTGTTTTTAAGGCCCATCTGTATGAATAAATCTATTTTGGGAGCTTATCATCTCTGTAATAAAATGAAATGATGAATTGTCATTGTAGTTAAATTAAACTTTATACAGGATTTTATAGCTGAAATATTTGTTCAAAACCATAAAAGAAAAAAAACATTTTGGAGAAAAAAAAGTTGTTTTATTTAGTTAAACGCTCAGGGAATAAAATTATTTAAATATCAAAATCGGCACTATAGTATGACCTACATTTTGGAGAATGAGTCTAAATATATGCAAAGTGAAAAAATAATGTAAAAGGCCCTCAGAAATTGCAGTTTATTAGATATAAAGCTCTTCTTTCATGCTCCATCTTGCAACAAATTGCTTTCGAACATTCAGACAGTAGGTTTTGTGTTATTGGACAAACGGCACTGAAAATCAGACCTGAGCGTTGGCGGCAAATAGCATTCCTGAAATCATATAAAAAAAGCTAATTTATTCATTTCTGTTCTCTTTTGAAGTTGTAAAATTGTCAGAATCTAATCATACTTTCGGCACGATCATCTCTGACAGTCATTTGGAAACATGTATTCTTGCCAGATATTTCCATCATGTTGTTTTTTAGACTCATGAAAAGTTGGAAGGAGAACAAACATAAGAGTGGCTGAGCACCTCTGTAGATGTTTAATCCCTCCATTCATCTCTTTATTTACAATCAAACTCACACGCATCATGGTGAGACCTTCCCTGCAGGCCTTACAGGTGTCATCAGTGTGTCTTCTGTGTGATTTAGAGTCTTCATGTTCTGCTGAATGAGCTTAATGCACTTTATAAACTCATCCGAGGCCCTTAGTTGGAGATACGATTGGGTAAATAATCCTAATAAAGTGTTTCTCTCCTTTTTTCTTCTTCCTTTCAGCAACCCCAGCTACAGCCACAGCCGATCCGCATCATTCCTTCAGCCCAGCCAACCTCGCTGCCCAAGCCTGTGCCTTGTGTCCAGCACGTCCCTCGGCCCGCCCTCCCAC